ACCCCAGCCAAGAGTGAATGCTGCCGGGTCAGGAGCAACCTTGGAGGGAGGGGGCTCAGGGATGGCACTGCTGACAAAGCCCCTGGGCCTTATCCCCGCGCTCCCCCCCACAGCCTACGCCCCGCTGCAGCAGCCCCAGTTCCTGCAGCAACCACCGAAGCCGATGCAGCAGCAGTTTGTCATCCAGCAGCAGCAGCAGCAGCAGCAGCAGCAACAGCTGGCACCCCGCGGGCAGCCCCCCCCGGGTCCAGCTGCCCCCCAGCTCCAGTCACTGCCCCCTGCCAGCCCCAGCCCAGCCCCCCCACCCAAAACGGGAGCCCCCCACGGGACGGGGGCGGAAGGCACAGCCCCCAACGGGCACCCCGGCTGCTATGGGGCACCCCGCAAGTTCCAGCACGCCTCCGCCGTCATCCTGCAGCTGCAGCCCGCCAGCAGCACGGTGAGGGCCCCCCCGGCCCCAGAGAGCAGGGGTGCTGGGGGTCGGGGTGCATGGGGGGCACCGGCGTGCACTCGGGTGGGTGCGCTACGTGCTGTGTGCATGTCAGCTCTGTGCACGTGTGCAACCCTTGTGCCACATCATGTGTGTGTGCATGCACGGCTGGTGCGCTGCTGAGCTACGCGCGTTGCTTGTGTGCATGACCCGTGCACCGCTGCCTGCTCCGTGTCCAACTGTGCCACATGCATGTGTGCGCAATGGCCCGCGCACAGCTGTGCACAGGGCTTGTGCCCTGGGCCACATTTGCACGCGTGTCCATGGCTCACGCACAAGTACGCGCGTGCAAGCGCTTGCAGGCTGCCTCCATGTGCACAGTTCTGCCTGGCCCACGGGTGCGTGAGCGCATTGCCGGCCCTTGCACGCGTGTGTCTGGCCCACGGCCGCGTGTAGCAGCGTCACCCAGAGCCGCGCATCCGCGTGCGCCGCCCGCACACAGCCCCGTCCCTCACACCCCGCCGCCCACGTGCGGGGTGCGATCCCGCACCGCTGACGCTGTCCCCGCCGCAGCCGCCGCTGGGTGCCGCAGAGGCCGCCCGCCGGGACGCGCCGCCCGCCGCCAGAAGCCCCCCCGCCACCGCGCCTCCCGCCGCCGCCGCCGCCCCCCCGCCGCCCCCCGGCCCCGAAGCGCCGCAGGGGGAGAGCGCCGCCGCGCACGGTAAGCGCGGGAAACTGAGGCACGCGGGGAGCGGCGCCGCACGGCCACGCCCCCCGAGGCCACGCCCCCTTTCCCCACCGCCCCGCCCGCGCCTTTCCCCGAGGCCCCGCCCGTCGAGCGGAGCGCGCGCGCGCGGCGGCGGCCAATGAGGACGATGGGCGTGGTCACCGCCCGGCCCCGCCCCGCCCCGCGCAGCCGCCGCCGCCGCCCCGGCCCGGCCCGGCCCCGCTCCGCCTTTGTCCCCGCTCCGCCGCCGCCGCCGCCGCCTTTGTCCCCGCCATGGGGCTGCCGCGCCGCTGAGCGCCGCCGGTGAGTGCGAGCCGCCCCGCTCCGGCCCGGCCCGGTGGGCGCTGACCTCACTTCCGCATCCGCCCCCGGCCCGGAGCCGCCGCGGCCCGGTCAGGTGAGGCCCGGGCTTGGCGGCGGGGCCCGGCGCGGCCTAGGACAGAGCGGCGCGGCCTAGCGGGCCTGGGGCGGCCTAGCGGGGCGGGGGCGGGCGGCGCCGCGTGGAAGCTGACGGTTTCCCCCCCTCCCCCCTCCCGTTTCCCCTCTCCCTCCTTCGCAGAGCCGGGCGCGGAGCGCGTGGATGCGCCGCCCGCCGCCCCCGCCCCCGGCATGACCTCGGGCAGCGGCAGCGCTGCCTCCACCGTCGCCGGCGCCGCCCCGCACAATGGTGAGAACAAACCGCCGCAGGCCGTGGTGAAGCCGCAGATCCTCACGCACGTGATCGAGGGCTTCGTCATCCAGGAGGGCGCCGAGCCCTTCCCGGTACGTCCGTCCCCCCTCCCTCGCCCCCTCCATCCCTAACGCAACGCGCTCCCCCCTCCCCCCTGCCCTTCCCGGCCGTTCCCGGCCCCGCTGACGCCACCACGGCACGCAGGTGGGCCGCTCCTCGCTGCTGGTGGGGGGCCTGAAGCCGCAGTATGCACAAGAGCTGCTGGCAGAGCGCGCCCCGCAGCACGACAACACCACAACCACCGACTCTGAGATGGAGGAGCCCTACCTGCAAGGTGAGGGGGCACCCCGAGGTGGGAGCCCCGCCAGGACTCTGTCCCGCCTCTGCTCAGCCACCCACTGCTCTCTCGGCAGTGTCCAAAGAGGAGGGGGCTCCCCCGAAGCTGAAGTGTGAGCTGTGCGGCCGCGTCGACTTCGCCTACAAGTTCAAGCGCTCCAAGCGTTTCTGCTCCATGGCGTGTGCCAAGAGGTACTGGGCTCCGGCCCCTCTACCCTCCCCGGCCCCGCTCTCACCCCCCCACCCACCCATTCACCGCTGCCTGCAGGTACAACGTGGGTTGCACGAAGCGCGTGGGGCTGTTCCACCCCGACCGCAACAAGCTGCAGAAGCCGGGAGGGCCCCCCCACAGCCGCCGCCGCACCTGCAAAGTGCCCACGCTCAGCAAGGACACCAAGAAGCAGGTGAGGGGGGGGCGTGGGTCCAACCCCAGGGGTGCAGTGAGCCGCGGGGCCGGTGCTGCCCGGTGGCTCCGTCCCGCAGACGCCGGTGTCCCTCCCGCCGGGCTCGGGGCCGCTCTCGGTGACGGCGTCGCTGCAGCTCAACCACAGCCAGGAGGACTCGAGCCGCTGCTCGGACAACTCGAGCTACGAGGAGCCGCTGTCGCCCATCTCGGCCAGCTCGTCCACCTCCCGCCGGCGCCAGGCTGAGCGTGACCTGGAGCTGCACGACATGGAGCTGCGTGACATGGAGCTGCCCGATATGCACGTGCGGGAGCTGGCGGGCATCGGGCACCGCTTCCTGCCCAGCGAGCCCAGCAAGTGGAACGTGGAGGATGTCTACGAGTTCATCCGCTCGCTGCCGGGTGAGGGGCGTCGAGGGACGAGGGCCCTGTTGGCTGTGGGGCTGTGCTGAGTGACTGTGCTGTGTTCCTCCCCCCCCACCCTGTAGGCTGCCAGGAGATCGCAGAGGAGTTCCGTGCCCAGGAGATCGACGGGCAGGCGCTGCTGCTGCTGAAGGAGGATCATCTGATGAGCACCATGAACATCAAACTGGGGCCAGCCCTCAAGATCTACGCCCGTATCAGCATGCTCAAGGACTCCTAGAGCCGCACCGTCGGCTCGCATGGACGCTCCCACCGGGTGGGGAGGGGGGGGACAGACCCAAGCCCCCCCCCTCAACCCTGCCTGTCCTGGTTGGGGGGGGGGAACCTATCACTGAGCACAAACAGCCCCGGGGCAGCCCCCCCTCGGCTGCAGGGTGTGTACATATAACCCGTAGCGATAGTGGCCCCACTGTGGCAGGGAGCCCCCCCGGCACGGCGGGGCACAGCAGGATGGTTGCCTTAATGCGTGGCCCCGCCGGGGCCCGGCTGCCCGCCCTGGGGTGGGGGGAGGGTGTGGGGGTGCCTACAGAGATGGCACTGCCCCCAGCAGGGCTGCTCCAGGAGCACCTCAGTAAAGGATGGAGGTGGTGGGGGCTTGATACCCCCAGCAGGTAAGGACCCCCCCCCCTCAGCCCACACCGCTGCCGTCAGCCGCCACGGTCTTTCTAAGAAAAGGAGGAAAAAAGGAAAAAAAAAAAAAAAAAGAAAGAAAAAAACACAGAAACCACAACCCTTTTTTTTCCCCGTTTTTGTTTCTAATAAACACTGAAAAAAAAAAACTGACCCCCCCCGTACTTTGCCTCCTCCTCACACGCAGCCCCCATCCCCCTGGGGTAAACTGAGGGGTCCTGGCTTTGTGTCACCTTCCACCCCCCCCCCCCCCCCGCTGTGGGGCAGCCCTCTCACACACTTGGCTGCTGGTGGCCGCCCTGGGGGGGCACTGCTACCACTGGGACCTTTGGTTCCCTTTGTGCCCCCCCTTGCCCCACATCCCTGCTGGCACCCTGAACCCAATAGGCATCCAGAGGTGAGGCTGAGGAGCAGTGAGGTCCCTGTGCCCAGTGCTGTGTCTGGCTGGGGGGGCCCCAAAGGCTTTGGAGGGGAGGTCGGGGATGGCATCCCTAGAGCCTGTGGCTGCAATGGGGAGGAGGCCCTGGAGCTGGTGGCCGTGGCAGTGATGGGTCCCTGGAAGTGGTGGCTCTGTGCCCTGCAGCTCACGTCCACGTTGCCCCAGCAGTGCCAGCTCTTCCAGAGAGCAGAGCAGCTCCCAGCACAGCAGAGCAGCTGCCTTCCCCACCGCTTCATCATCCACCATCCCCACATCGAGGGGATTTTTGTGGACCCCCATCTCCCCCAGGTTCCTCCTTTGTCACCGCGCTGCCCCGTGCCCCCATCCCCGCAGCAGTGACACCACACACAGCCCATCGTTTGTTTCCTTTCCTTTTATTCTTTCTTTTTTCTGCTCCAAAACGGGCGCTGCTTTGCGGAGGGCCGGGGGGGTCCCCACTGTTTCCAACTGCCCGCAAAAATGCTCCGTGTGGCCACGGCCCCCCCCGGCTTCTCCATGAGCCACAATGCAAGACCGGGGGGGAGGAGGGGGGGGGAAATAGGGAAAGAAGTGGGGGAGGGGTGTGTTGTTTTTTTTTTCTTTTCTTTTTCTCCTTTTTTAATAAGGTAATTGCTAGCTCTAGGGACACGTGGCCTGGATTTCCATCGAGGAAAATAAAAAAAAAGGGCCCCAAACGGGGCTGGGGGGGGGGGGGGGGGAAGGGGAGGGAGGCGTTAACAGTGTGTATAAGAGGCGTATTTACACGGTATTAACATGCTGACAAAAAAGGTTACAATATTGAGTATCGTACAACACCGAGGGGAAACGAGGAGCCAAAGGGTGGATGGACGGGGGGGGGGGGGTCAGGGGGGGTAAAAGGTGGGGGAGGGGGGGGGGGGGGGAAGGCTGTGGGAAGTCAAATTAATAAACAGAAGGTAATAAACACCCTGGCAAAACAATGAGTTAAGGCTTAAAAAGTGTATAAAAAAATAACACAGTTAATATCCAAAACGGAACCAAAGAGTACATAATATAGATGAGTTTCTGTCGAGTCTCTCCGGGGCGCGGGGCCCCCGCTCTGTACACGGGGCTATGTACACACAGAGGCACGCGCACCCCCCGCTGCTCCCGGAGTCCGGCGTGGGGGGGAGCGAAACCAGAGGGCAAAACGTCTTTAAAAATCAAACGCAACCCACGCGGAGCAGCTCCCCCCCCCCCCCCCCTTGAAACAAAGCCCCCTCTGAGCCCTGCTCTGCTCCGGCACAGTCCTGGGGGGGAGGAGGGGGTCTGGCGTGCTCCGTTCCACGTCTGATTTTGTTTCTGTGTTAGCAGCACCAACTTCTTGGCCAATAAATATATATATATATATTTGTATCCAAAATGAGAGGAGGCGGAGGGCGGGGAGGGGGGGCTGATGAAGGAGAACCCCCTCCTTTACCCCCCCCCCCCCACACGCTTCGCCCCCCCACAAGAAAACTGCAGAGATTCAAAGTGCTCTGAAACCGTCTTTGGATGTCACCAAACCTGCAGCCCCCCGGGGGGAGCAGGGGGGCCGGGTCGGGGGGGGCCAACGGGGTGCCACCCCCCGACAGCAGCGGGGTGGGACGGAGCCCACTTAGATGAGCGAGATCCGCACGGGGATGCCGGGGGATTCGGTCCTTTGAGGAGAGTGCTGGCTGACGAGGTGCTCCACCACGGTGTGTTTGGACATGTGCTTCATCAGGTACGTCTCCTGCGGGGCAGAAGGACAGGTGGTGAGCAGGGGGTTGGGGTGCTGGAGGGGCCGCGCCGTGCCCCCAAAGCCCCTCACCGAGGTATAAGCGCGGCCGCACATGCTGCAGCAGTAAGCCTTGGCGTGCTTGATGGCGTGCGCCGAGAGGTGGATCTGCAGCGAGGCCGAGTCCGTGTAGGCCCGGTAGCAATTCGGGCACTTGTAGGGCTTGTCCTTGTTGTGCTGTCGCTGGTGAGACTGCCAGAGAGCGGCACGGGGTGGGTTGTCAGGGGGGGTGCAGGGCTGGGAGAGCCCGGAGCCCCCCCTGCTTCGCCCCCTGTGGGGTTCGGCACTCCGTGCCCCCACCTCCCCGCCGTCACCCAGGAGCTGCTGACCTGGAGGTTGGAGAGTTGTGTGAATGCCTTCTCGCAGCCGGGGTGCGGGCACTTGTAGGGTCTGTCACCGGTGTGGATTCTGCACAGGATGTGGGTATGGTGGGAGGGGAACGTGTCAGGCAACGGCCCCAGCAAGGCTGGGAACCCACACAGCCCCAAACCCTGCAAAGCTCCCAGCACCCACGCGGCCACTGAGCTCAGCAGTGACAGCCAGTGCGCAGAAGGGACCCAGTGATGGGGCACAAGGGGAAGGAGACCCTGGGTTGAGACCCAGAAGAGCTGCGTGGGTTGGAGAGCACGGCTGGAGATGGCGAAGGAGAAGAAGGTGGTGCTGAGTGAACACCCCACCCTATCCCATCCCATCCCACCCCACTCCACTGGAGACTCCCAACCCCACGCAGCCCCTCCTGGCACCTGGTGTGCTGCTGGAGGTGGGACAGCTGGCGGAAGGACTTCTCGCAGTAGGAGCAGTGGTAGGGCTTCACGCCCAGGTGGATGCGCAAGTGCTGGGCCAGGTAGGAGGCGTTGGCGAAGGATTTGGAGCAGTGGGGGCACTTGTGGGGTTTGGCCTCTGTGTGCGACTTGGAGTGGATCTGCATCTCCGACTTGGTGAAGAACGTCAAAGGGCAGACCTTACACCTGCAGGAGAGCCACGAGGGCCGGGCTGGGCAGGACGCCTCACTGCATCCCTCATCTCCACCCCCGTCCCCACAGCACCGCCGCAGCCCGGCTCCAACGCCAGGCGCCCACCTACCTGTACGTCTTGCCCTCTTTGGCCGTCTCCCCCGAGGCCAGGATGGGGTAGGGAACCACGAGGACGGGCGGCCCCGAAGGGTTTTCCGCCTTGATCTTCTTGCGGCCCCGCTCCGTCTTGGGTGCCCCCAGCAAGCTGTGGCCCTGGATTGTCTTTATGGAGTCGAGGAGGGGCGGGCTGGTGATTCCTGAGATAAGGGTGGGCGAGGAGGCGATGAGGCGGCTCTGGCTGGTGGAGGTGGGTGTGGAAGGGGTGGTGGTGCCCGTGCTGGACTCGGAGGTGCTGACTGGGGGCGCGCGGGACGCCAGCCCCAACCCTGGCAGCAGAGACAGGCGGGTGTCAGCGGGGCACACGCTGCCCGCCCCGCGCCCGCCCCCCACACTCGAGTGGCCCTCAGGCAGCAGGAGCCAAAGCAGCCCCCTCTGGGTCCCCCCCAGGCAGCGCTGGTACCTGTGACGGTGCTGGTGGCCGGCCGAGCGTGCAGGGCCACGTCGGGCTGCGGGACCGCCTGCGGGTGGAGGCCTGGCACCTGCTGCAGCTTGGGGAGGGACATGATGGACTGGCTGCTTTCAGCAGGAGAGGGGGGCACCAGGAGGGGCTGCTGGGAGGCAACGGAGGTGGGGGGCAAGTGTGGGGGCCGGATCTTCTCTGCCATCAGCTGCTCTTTGATTTTGTTGATCAGGACGAGGTTGTCCAGCTGGCAGGGGTGGAGGCAGAGAGGTCAGAGGTGCCCTGTTCCATTGGTTCTCCCTCCTCCCCAAACACCCGTCTCACCTGGCTGGGCATGGTTGGGGGAGGCGGCCAGAAGTAGGGGTTGTTGAAGCGAGGCTCCGCCATCCTGCAGGGAGAGATGGGGGTTACGGTGGGCAGCAGCCCGGCAGCCCCCTCCGGCCTCCCCACAGGGCTTTGCAACAGTGCTCCCCATGAGAAGGAGCCCCCAGGGCCCACCACAGGGAAGAGCCACACCAACAGCAACGCAGCAACCACCAGGAGATGCTTCCTAGAAAACCCTTCCAGAAGACGGAGCACAGAGGAGGAAAGCACAGCGGGGCAGCCGGCCCTTTGGGCAGCTCATATCCACACAGAGAGAACTGCTGCTGAAACCACAGCACCTGGCCAGGGCTCCTGGCGGGTTCCCCCGGCCCTCACACCTGCAGGTATCACTGCTGCTCCCCAGCACCTCGGGGAAGGCTGCAGGAGGACACGGAGCACGGCGCAAGCACAGCAGCGACGCAAGGACCCCAAGGAGCCCCAGTAAGGGCACCTACAGCAACCACAGGTGGCTCAGCTCGCTTCAGGGCGAGCCCTGCTTGCAGCGGGGCTGGGAGATTTATGGAGATGCTAAATACTTTGGAAAAATGAACTCTAAAATCCATCTTTAGTTAATAGGAAACATCTGAGCAGGGACGGCGAGAAAATGACGACAGCGGAGCAGCCCGACATCAGCAGGCAGTGCTGCTGCTCACATCACAGCCAGAGCTGGCAGGGCACGCTGAGGCACGAGCACTTCTGATTCCTCCCCACCCGACACCCAATGCCGATTCAGCCAGCACTGCCATCAGACACTGCACACCTTATTTTGGCTGCACCACGAGCTGGGAGCAGGCGGGACCCCCGTGTCTGTGCACAGAGCGCGGGGAGCAGCTCCACAAGGAGGAAGGAGCTCCTCGGCACCTTCCCCAGCTCTGCGGGCGACTGAGCTGCAGGGAGATGACCTCCATTTGGAGCAGAAATCAGGCCACGGAGGGAGAAACCAGAACGGCACAGACCCATCCCCACCACAGCCGGCACCAGGAGAACCAGGCATGAGATCAGCACGGGTTCCCTGCAGAACAGTGCTGCAAAGGAGGGCAGGGAGGCCGGGGACAGCGAGGCACAGAGCGGGACCTGCTGAGCCGCATGGCACGTGGGGACGAGACCGCGGAGCAGGAGGGCAGCGGCCACATGGCAGCGGGTGGCGCTGAGCAGCTTGAGGTCCTGGGAGCGGCAGCCCTGCCCAGGGACCTGGAGCTGAGCGCAGGATGGGAGCTGCTGATTGAGAGCCTCAAGCAGGACCGTCCCGGCCAGCACTGGGCTCTGGCAGCTTGGGGCACCCAGAGCAAGGCAGACTGCATTGCAGTTGCCCCAGGCGTCACTTCAGAGCGTCCCTTTCACTGGGGTCAGCTCTCTCATGAAAGCAGAGCCGTGCACAGAGCCACAGGGAACCCTGCCCTGCACCAGCCTGTGCCAGCAAACACTGTCAGAGGTGACAGCTCACTGCTTACAACGCCTGTACCACAGTGTGGGACAAGCACAGCACTCTGACATCCCCAGGTCAGAGCTCTCCTGCCACTGCCAAGATGCCCAAACCCACCACATGGCCCTGAATCCCACCACCATCTCAGCCTGAAGCTCACCACCATGGCTTGAATCCTACCATCATGGCCCGAATATTACCACCATCACAGCACAAACCCCATTTTCACAGTTCAAATCCCACCACCGTGGCCCAAGCTCCACCAGCACAGCCTGGATCCCACCACGATGGCCTGAGCTCTACCATCACAGCCAGAATCCCACCACCACAGCTTGAATCCTACCACCACAGCCCTGAATCCCACCACCAGGTCCAGAGCCCAACCATCACAGCCCAAATCCTTGCACCATCACAGCCTGAACTCCACCACCATGGCCTGAATCCTAGCACTATGGCTTGAATCCCACCACCATGGCCCAAGCTCCACCATCACAGCCTGAATCCCGCCACCATGGCCTGAGTTCTGCCACCACGGCTCAGCCAGCGGCTGCCCCGCAGCGTGGGAAGCTGCAGCCCTCCTTCGATTCTTGCCTGGCCAGAGCAGGAAAACAGGAAGCCAGAGCTATGATTAGAAAAGTTTTTGGAGCCAACCCAGCGAGCCGCTGCTCTGCCCTCACAGCAGGTGCCCCGTGCCCTCTGTCCCCCCCATCCCAGACCATGCAAAGCTCTGCCCGCCCCGTTTGCTCAAAGAAACGGAGGATCCCAGCACAACCTGCAGCTGCCATGGAAGGGGGGGAGCCTGACCTGCTGCAGCCTCCCACTCCTGCCCCACCTGAGCAGTTCTTATTTAACAGCAAAGCTGCTGCAACCGCTGCGTGTGGAGCGCTGCAAACCTGCCCAGAATAAAGGGAAAAGAAACAGCGGTGGTGCCAAAAAAATCTCTGTTCCTGTCCCAGCTTAATTTCATAAATTGTGCTGTGTCTCATCTGGAGCACAGGGGGGATTGCTCCCCCCTCCCAGGGCTGAGCTCGGACGGCGGGGGGAGGGGGCCGGAGGGGATATAAAGCAGATGGAAAAATACATAAACTCCCTTTTTCTAGATTCTCAGCTAACTATGAAAAATGGAAGCTGACACACGGCAAAAAAAAAAAAAAAGAAAAAGAAAAAAATCCATTAAAATGGAAATGATGAAGGGTGGGGAACGCTGCAGCACGTCTCCCCCCGGCTCTGCTGGGCACGGCGCCGTGTGCCGGGCAGCGGGACGGAGGAGCTGCTGCTGAGGCAAAGAAGGCGTCGTGGGCACCCAGCAGGGCTCCATCAGTGCGCACCGGAGCTCCCAGGCAGGGAAGGAAGCAGAGGGAGGTGGAAAGAGCAAGCAGCGGATGCACAGGGAAGGGAGAGGCGTCGTGGCAGAGCAAGGCCCGGCGCCGCGTGGAGGGGAAGGAGTGCGCAGGCGGCTGCAGCAAGGCCGGCGGTGGCCCGGCACGGACAAGACATGGTGCACACCGTGTTTGGTACTCACAGGCTGGCCTCAGAAGCCAGATGGCCGCAGCTGCCTGGGGAGACGTGTCGATGAGGCTCCAGATTGATGGAGGTAGATGATGGCACGGGTGGGTACGAGCGCCAGGCCCCGCAGCTCACTATAGCCTTCCAACTTCCTACCAAACTGCCGCTAAGTCAAGCTACAGTTCTCTAGGGAACGTCTCTACTTTGGCAGCCCTCTCTGTCTCGCCTTCGCTGAAATAAAAAGAAACAAGAGATTCTTTTCACGGACACGGCACGGCACCGCCACGAGAAGGGTTCGCTCCCGGGGACCGGCGCCGCTTCGCCCCTCGGGGCCGGCGAGCGGCCACAGGGCTGCCTGGCACAGGTAGGGCAGCAAATGGGGCAGGGGGCGGCAAGGAGGGGATGGGGGTGAGCCGAGCGGCATGCCTGGGTACCGCGGGACGCCAGCGGCCAAGCGAGAAGCCCGCCCTCCACCAGCACAGCCTCGCTCCCCCAAGCAGGGTCCCCGGCTGACAAGCGTCCATCAGGAGCAAGCTGGGCACGGAGCAACAAGCGCAGGGCCGAGCCGGGTAGCAGCACCCAGTGCTGGGCAGCACGAGTCTACACAGCCTCAGACTGCAGCAGGCAAAAGCAAAGAGCCCAGTGTCCCCGGCCGTCCCCTCAGGGCACCATCAGACCAGCAGGAGGGGACTTGGGGATGTGGCACCCGCACAGCCGTGCCCCCATCACCCCTTGTCCCGTTCCAGTTGCAGCACTCCACCCGTTCTCATGCCGCCCAGCTCCGCCTGTTCTCCGCCACATTTTCCCCCAAAAGCACAAAACCTTCTGGCCCCATAAGCTCAGCCCTGTCAGGAGAAGGGGCTGCACCATCCCCACCTTCCCAGCACGCAGCCAGCACTGGTCGGAACCCATTGCACATCTCTGCGGGCTGCGTGCAAGCGGCCCCTGCCCGGAGGAGCAGTTTTTCAGGAGAAACCAAAGGCCCGACTTCAAAATCCCCAGCCCCGAGCTGCTGGGCTGGAAGCAGCATCAAAGCCACCCACGTGCCCGTGGGCTGCCATGCCGTGCCCAGGCGGGCTCCCCGTGCCGCAACGCGCCGTCCTGCTGCCAGCTCCAGGGACCGTCCCGCGTGGGCCCTGCGCCCGCGGCCCCCGGCCCAGCTTTTCCTCAGCAGGAAGAATTTACCCTAAGGCAGAAGACAGCATAAGGAACGTAAGCCAGGGAAGCAGAAACAACACGTGAAACCCGGGGCAGGAGGCTCAGAAATCCCCGTTCCAGAGGAACGGCTTGGAGGCATCGTGTGCCAGAAGAATTCACCCAAGATGGAACCAATTAAACCCCACGTTTCCGCCCCCCGAAGGGCTCTGACTGGCGTTTCTCATTCAGATTTCCTTCCCCGAGCAAAATCAACTGAAAGCCAACAGCGGCTGGAGCAGAAAGCCCATCCCAGCAGGGCCGGGGCTGCGGGCCGGGGCCCCAAGGGGTGTGAGGAGCCGTGTGTGCCCTCACCCCATAGGTCTGCACTGGGAACAGAGTCAGAGCCCCACATTCAGCCTGCAGGGCCCCAAATCCCCGAGGAGCCCACACTGCACGAGGAGAGAGCAGAATCCCAAACGGAGGAATGCAGGGCCCAAGGGCTGCACTGCTGCCCAGGGTGAGGAACCCAGCCTGGGGGGCTTCTGCAGCCGCCCTGCAAGCAGTGGGGAGAAGGAAGCGGTGCAAAGATGGGCAGAGCGGGTGTGGAAGGAGCAATGAAGGGAACCCACTTCCCTCGGAGCCACCCTGGAGACCGAAACAGGGAGCAGGCAGGACGGGACACCCAGCTCACAGCCCCTGGAGGCGGGGGCAGAACTGCGCCCTACAGAAGCCAGCCAGAGACACCAAAGCCGCACTGCTGGAACCAGCAGCGCCCACCCAGCCAGGCAGAGGGACGAGCAGCACAGTGCAGGCCTGGCTGTGACATCGCACTGGGGACAGCGGGCACCGAACCCCCGGCACCCCGCGATGCCACACTGCCAGCCGGCACACACACGGCAAAGCAGAGCTGGCAGTGACGCTCAGAGCCAGGCGCCGTGACAGCAGCGACAGCACGGCGGCGAAGCAGAGCTTTGCCCCAAGGCCAGGCAAGGAGGCAGCAAGCGGTTCCCAACCCCAACCCCGCCGCCCCGACCCCAACACGCATGCACTTGTCACAAGGCACGGCCAGCCGCCGCTCTCCGGGGGAGAAGGGGATTCCTGAGGGAGAAGGGATTGCTCCGCACAGAGAAGCGCACGGACTGCCGGCTCTGGGAGAGGAGACGGGGATCGCGCTCATGCTGCGAGCGGGAGCCCAACGAACCCAGGCTGGGTCCGGCATCCCTCCCCACGCCCCCAGGCAGGTACCCAGCTGGCAGCCCCCCGGGGGCCCTGCTGCCCAACGCTCCCAGCTTCAGCGCGGTTCGTTCCCCTCGAGAGCGCCGGCATGCCCACCTCTGAGAGTACTGGCGTTGCTTCCCCTTATCCGCGTCCATCTCCAGATCTAGCTGGGAACCGGTGCCGCACGCGGGGCGTTTCTCTACGGGGGGACAAGGAGGACAACTTCACACACCCCAAAAAACACAACACGCGGAGGAACAAAAGCGGAGCGGCTCCCAACGACCCGACCCGTGGGAACGTAGGGCTTTTTCCTGAAAGCAGACAAAAAGAAAAGCTGTGTTTTCATCCCCAGGCACCCTGATCCGGGGCGCCCGCAGGGCCTGCACCCATCCATCCATCCGTCCGTCCGTCCGTCCGTCCGCCCCGCAGGCCGCACGCCAGGAGGGGGCCCAAAACTTTTCCCTCTCCTCTCCGATCCCATTTCCGTCCCCAAAGGCTCCGGGCTGGGAGCGCTGCCCGCCCCGCCGTCCCCACGCACAGCATCCCACGGTGCGGAAGGGAGGAAAAGGGCCGAGGGACGGATCCAGGGCCAAACCACAGCTCGCCGCCGGCGCAGCCGGGCACGATGGATGTATAAATAGGGGTGTGAGCATCCCCACGCTATGGCACGGCCAAACCGATGCGTGCAGGAGGACACTGAGCTCCCCGGGCACCGCCGCTGTCGGAAATGTGGGTGCCCTCACTAAAGCTGCGACTTCCACATTCCTGCTAAAGCGCGATGCAAGATGCATCCCCCCCCCCCCACCCCCCACCCCCCAAACCCTCAGCCGGCTCTGTTAGACCGAAAAAAATACGGTTAACGGGGAGGGGATGGAATGAAGGGAAAAAGGAGGGGAGCGGGGGGGTGGGGTGGATAAATAAATAAAGCACAGCAGCCCCCCATCACAGCACCGCCACCGTGCAGATTGAAAGGCCCGAAAAAAAAACAGAAAAAAAAAAAACAGAAAAAAGAAAAAAATCATAATAATAAAAGGAAAGAAAGCAGACGGAGGGGGGGGGGGGGGGGGGGCGGGGGTATGAAATAAAATGAAAAAAAAAAAAAAAGAATGGAAGAGAAAAGCGACGGAGGGAGAAGCGACCGAGAGAAAGGCAGCCGAGCCCCCACGCCGCATCCGCCGCTCCTCGCCGAGCACCGCCGCACGGATGGGGCCGTTCGGCTGCAATTAACTTTTCCATCAGACCCTCCGGAGGGAGAAAAAGAGAGAATCCAGCAAAGCGGGCATCTTCCTGGCTGCCCCCCCCCTTCCTCCTCCTTCCTCCTCCTCCTGGGTTGGGAGGGATGGGGGGGGCACACGCAGAGGGGTGCCCCCCCCCCGGGGAGGGGGTGAGAGAAGAAGGGGAGGGGGGGGGGGATAGAAAATAGAAGGAAAAAAAAACAGAAGGGGGGGAGGGAAAAAAAAAAAAAAAAAAAAAAAAAAGCAAAAACACGAAAGCAGAACGCGAGAGAAGAGCGAAGTTGGGCGCGGAGTGAAGTTGCTCCTGCCTGGGGGGGGGAAGGGGGGAACCTCCGCAGACAAAAAGGCCGAAGGGAGAGGGGGGGATGGGGGGGGGCGGCCCCGCTCGGTGCCCCTCCGCCGCCTCTCCCACATTCTCAGACGGTTTTATTAAAATTCGCAGACAAAAGGAAAACAAAAATGGCAGCCCGGCTTATTTTTAAAGCGCGGGGAGGAACGGGGGGCCGCCATGTTCTGCAGATCCGCGGTTACGGGGGGGGGGGGGGGGGGGGGGGAGAGAGGGAAAAAAAAAAAAAAAAAAATTAACAAAAAATTAAAATTAAAGAAAAAAAAGAAATTAAAGGGGAAGGGGGAAAAAAATGAGGAAAAAAATAATAATCCAGATCTCGAGGAGGAACGCAGCACCGCCCTGCCCCCCCCCCCACCCACAATCGCTGTTTACCGGAGCTCGCACCGGGGGGGGGGGGGGGGGTGTTATTATTTTTTGAATGCGGGAGGAGAGGAGGAGAAGAAGGGGGGGGCGAAGGGGGGGGAGGGGGGGAAGAGGAGGGAAAGAAGGAGGAAAAAAAAAAAAAAAAAAAAAAAAAAAAAAAAAGACACTTCCTATACCAACAGCCATGCTCCGCGTCCCGCGTCTCTCCGCCGCCGCACCGACAAAATGGGCGCCCCGCGCCTCCGCCCGCCCCCCGCGCCTCCGCCTCCGCCCGCCCAGGGACCGCGGCGGGCAGCACCGGGCCGCCCTGCCCCGACCGACCGACCGACCGCCCCCTGCACGGCGCGGCGCCACGGCGGGGGGCGGCCAGCGGGGCGGCCGCGGGGCTCGGTTCGGTTCCGTGCGGTTCCCTGAGCCCCCCCCCCCTCCCCGGCTCTCCTCAGCTTCTCGCCCCCATCCGAGTCACCCGGTTCTTCCCACTGCACCCCAGTCCTCAGTCCGCAGCTTCGCAGTTCTCCTCAGCCCCCCTCGGTGCCCCCCAGTTCTCTCCAGCGCCCCCCAATTCTCCTCCACCTCCAGCCTCTATCAGTGCCCCCCAGTTCTCCTCATTGCCCCCCTAGTTCTGCTCAGCCCCGGGTTCTCCTCAGTGCCCCCCAGCTTCCCCCAGCAGCCCCAAATTCCCTTCAGCCCCCCTCAGTGCCCCTCAGTTTTCCTCCCTAGTTCTCAGCCCCTCACCCCTCTCAGTGCTCCTCAGTTTTCCCCAGCAACCCCCAGTCTCCCCCAGTGCCCCCCAGTCCTCCTCAGTCTCCAGTCCCTCCCAATGCCCCCTAGCTCTCCTCAGCTCCTTGTCCCTCTCAGTGCCCTCCTAACACCCCCTAATTCTCCTCAGATCCCCTCAGCGCCCTCAATTCTCTCCACCACCCACCAGTCCTCCTCAGTGCCCCCAGCTCTCTTCAGTGCCCATCAATCCTCCTCAGTCTACAGCCTCTTCCAGTGCCCCCCAGCTCTCCTCATCGCCCCAGTTCTCAGCCCCTCACCCCTTTTGGTGCTCCACAGTTCTCTCCAGCAGCCCCCAACCCCCCTTACTGCCCCCCCATTCTCCCCACACCCCCCACCCCCCCCAGAGCCCCCTCAGGACCCTGCCACCACATTGTCCCCAGACTCTCCTCATGCCCAGGGGCCCCCAGCCCCTCTCCGGTGCGGTGACTGGGTTGGAAAGGTCCCCCCCAGGGATGGGGCACCCCCAGCTCTCCAGACAGTGCCCACCATCTCCTCCTGCTGCAGACCGACGTTGGGGTGCAGCACTGCTGGCCATGCAGCTTGCTTCCTGCAAACTCCATGGGGCAGCCTGGCTTTCCCACAAGTTTCCAGCAACTGTGCCATTGAAAAACCCAAACCCTGAGCTCCGCGTGCTTTCCCAGCCCCTCAAAAGCACCCATGGCAGATGGAGAGGAGCAGGGTACTTCGCTCACCCCCCTGGTGCATCGGAGGGCGGTTGCGATGTCTCCCCTCAGCCTGCTCTTCTCCAGACTAAACAAACCCGGCCCTCCAGCATGGCTGCAGTGCTCTCAGCTCCCAGTCGCACTCCTCAGAGTCGTGCATGAGGGGATGGAAGAGAAGTGGATGAGGGCTCGGAGCGGTGGGGCAGACATCTCCGTGCACACAGGGTGAGTGCTGCCGACCCCACTGTGCACATCTGGGTGCCCTCCACCTGAAGCACACCGAACCCTTCTGCTCACTCCAGGGGCTGGAGGAGTTGGATCATAGAATGATAGAATCATAGAATGGCCTGGGTTGAAAAGGACCACAATGATCATCTGGTTTCAGCTCCCCTGCTGCAGGCAGGGTTACCAACCACCAGACTGGGCAGCCCAGAGCCACGTCCAGCCTGGCCCTGATGAGCTGGTCGTGCAGCAGTGTACCAGCAGTGGTGGAGGGTCCATTCCCACCTGGGCTGGGAGATGGGCGCGTGTGGGACCCTCCCTGACCTCCCTGATTCCACCAGCATCTCTTTGTCCCCTGCCACCCCCTGGTTCCAAGTTCCCCTCCATCCGCATGTGAGATGCATTTCCACCGCTGCTTTCACTTCTGTCTGCACTTCTGGGGGGCTTGGGCTGCACCCTCAGGAAGGCTCCAGGTGGCTGGAGGACACCCCCAGACTTGCAGGCAGGGGATGCAGCCACTGGGACAGGCTGGCCAGCAGAAGTCTCTTGGTGATGCTGCATTGTGCTGAGGCTGCAGGGGCTCTTCCAGCCGTGTGCTGGCTGGATTCAAGCATCCCCCACCTCGCTGGGTGCAGGCAGGGACCCCCATGCTCAGCCTACAGGACCTGGGGGGGGGCTCCGGCGTGCCCACCTCCCCATCCCCGAGCTGCAAAATGGCACCGCAGAGAGGAAGCGGAGCTGGCTGCAAAGCTCACATTCAAAAGGAGGTGTTCAAAGGCTCTTCTGCCCCCGGGGCAGATCCAACCGCAATTAAAAGGGAAGGAAGGCAGGGGAGCGCTCGGCGCGGCACGGAGATGCCGCCTTTGCCATAAATCACCTCTGCGGGCGCTTGGGCGGGCGGCAGCGCTGCTCCACCTGCTCTCCCCGCGCCCGCAGAGCCGTGCCCGCCGGCAATGGGAACGGCAGCGGCTTTCCCGAGGTGGGAGATGCGGCAGGGATGCAGCAGTGAGCCGGGCTGAAGGGGCAGGAGATGCTCGAGAGGTGCGGCTCCATGCCCCCAGGGCACGGCTCGTGTGTGCGCAGAGCCGAGCTGCGGCGTCCCTGCAATCCGGGGCGTGGAGCTGGGGGTGGGAAGGAGATGCTGGTCAAAAAGTGTGGGATTAGGGTTAGGGTTAGGAGTAGGTTAGGGTTAGGGTAGGGTTAGGGTTACGGTAAGGTTAGGGATAGGGGTTGGGTTAGGGTAGGAGTAGGACTGGTTAGGATTAAGGGTATTCCTAGGGAACAGACTGGGAAAGTTGGCTGGGAAAGCTGCAAGCCAGCATTGAGACCTTCGGTGCCAGACAGCCCTTCTGATGGGGTCTTTGTCCCCGCCAGCAGCAGCAGCAGGCACCAAGCAGGAAATCCTCTGGGAAATGCCTCTCTCTATCCCAACTTCGTATTTGTTTCCTTTTCTTTGCAAGAAATCTCTCTTTCAGTCAAGTGGGGCTGGAGAGTTAGCGCTGGGCCGAGTTCAGCAGCAGAGCCATCAACCCGTGCAGATGGTTCCTGCCTCATAAAACATTCCCTGCAACACCCCACAAGTGCTCACACAAGAGGCAGATGATTACAGCAGGCGGTGATGAGGGCCGGAACAAGTCAGTGCAGAGCTTCCCAAGGTGTTTCCCAGGCAGTGGGACGCACAGCAGCTCGCTGGCAATGACTCACAGGCGGCCATGTGAGCACAAGGGTGGGCGCTGCTGGGGGTGGGCGCGTGGAAATGCTCCATCCTGGCTCACTGGGACGCTGCGCCGGGCGAGCGGAGCTGCAGCGTGGGTTCTTCACCCTGGAAATGGGTGAAGCTCTCGGCCCCGACAGCGCTGAGCTGCGTGCGCAGGGAGCCTGCGGCCGCGGGCTGGGAGCTTGCAGGAGTTTAGGGGTGATTGGGTGAGAGAAAGCAGCCGTGCATTTGTTACCTTTCTCCTCCTGTAAATGGGAGGGACATTTGGTTATAATTAGGTAATGAGTTAATTAGGATTAATTAGTTAATGTTTGCAAAGCACTTAGGAGATGAAAAGCGGCGGCACAGAGTGGCTTTGTGCATCCTGGAGGGCTGTGGGCCCCTGCTCTGTGCAGGGGCACATTCGTGTCAAACCCTGGGTGCAAAAGCCCTGAAATCCCAATCCATGAAGAGGAGAAACGTCAGCCGTGCACAGCGGGAACAGGGCCGCATCCTGCAACGACAGCAGCAGCACAGCAGTTCTCAGAGCACAGTGGGGAGCATTGCACCGGGGCAAACTGGAGGTGTGGGCTCATCCAGCATCCCCCCCCAGGCCCCTGGGAACATCTTGGCTTTGTAGCTCCATGGGAAGGAGAGCCCCAAAGCCTCACCCACCCTGAGCACGCAGCCCTGCGCA